AAGACTTTCACTTCAACCTACCTGTTCGCCCATTGGAACTGCGAGGCGGCAATCACAACTGCGGCTGCCCATGACGCAGTGCACGCGCCACGAGCCGCTCAGCGTGACAAAGGCTGTGTCCAGGAAGCAATCGACCTCGAGCGAGACTCCATTCATCTGGAGCGGGATCAGGGCCGGGGGATCGCACCTGCCGTGCACGTGCGGCTGGTAGCTCGGCATGTCTGGATTGTCCACAACCGCAGGGTCGATGATCACGGCGTAGAGCATCGGGGATTTTGGTAGGAATGAGAGGCCGGCGGCTCTCTCCATAACCGTCGGAGGCTTAGGCGGCGCCACCGCCCTGTCCTTGCCGAAGTACACTCTCTTAGATAGGTGCAGCCCGTCTTCCACCGCCGCCTCGAAAGCCTCCGCCGTCGCCATATTGATAAGAGATAACAATAATTATTTGTGAATAAACACGATCGCTGTAGACTGATTTCTCTTGTAATTCCCACGAATCGAGTTAAAAATGACGATTTTTTTCGGAGGAAGACAAGAGCAGGCCGTTGGAAGGGTGGGCCCTCTTATGATCTACACGAGGGGATTGATTTCGACCGTCTTTTCCGATTTTGTTAGCTTATGAGTTGTACCCCGAATGTTGTGATCGAGAGAGCATCTCCAAGAGTTTCCTTATTCATCTTTCTTATCTCAAAAATGGGGATTTTCTCTCAAAAATTGTCTCCAACAATTCCTCCAAGGTTGGTCCTAATCCTAAAAATACCCTCAAATAGACACTTCTCTTCCTCATTCCTAGGGAGAGAAAAACGACCCCTATTTCATCTCTCCGCCATTATTTTCGATACGCGCTCCTCTCGCGGTCTTTTTCCTCCCTACTCCTTTCATCTCCCCCTCGTCGCCCTCCACCGCCGCCCGCTCGCAGCATCCACGGCCGCCTTCTCGCTGCCCTCCACCTCCGTCCCTGAACAGGTCGAATCCCTCGCCGCCGCCGCCTAGAAAGGTGCCGCCACTACAGGATGGAGGGTGTCGACGTCGCCCCGGGACGAAAAGGTGGCGCCGCCGCCGCAGCTGCCGCAAACAAGGTGCCGCCGCCGCTGCCCGATCAAGACTCCATCGCCAACATCTCGAGAGGTCCATCCAGTCTGGGCTTCAAGTGGGCTTTTAGATAGATTTGTAGGTCTGGTTCAAATTCAAATTATAAAATAGGGAGACTCTTGGAGGACAGCAGAAAATAGGAAGCAAATAGATATAAGATGGTTCCTTATTTCTCCAAATAGGAAGTCTAAAATAGGAGGTCTCTTGGAGATGCTTTAAATGGTAATCTTTGTGTCCCAAAGGTACAAATAATCGAAGTTGATAATGGAAGATCATTTATCCTTGGGGTCAGATAATTGGGTTAAATGTAATTATTTTGGTACAAAAGTGTTCTTTGCTTTGCGTATCCATTAGATATGACGCACTAATTTTGGAACACGGAATTAGGCAAAGCGTTAAATGCCACGTGGAAGGTCAGTTTCCGCGTTTGAAGAGTAAACCCCATTTCTTTTTTTTTTTTCGCAACGGAAAGAATATATATAAAAACTCGAAAGGAGGGAAAAAGAGTACAAAGGGGCGTGCACACAGGCACATGACTTAGCTTACATTTAGTAACTAAGTGAAGGTGGACAAAAACAACCCACAAAAACTAGGCTAGAAAGAACCAAAACTATAAATGTTATAGAAACAAACCAAGCTACAAGAACATAAAACTAGCAGACAGACACAGAAAAGCTAAAAGACAGCAACAAAACAAAGAAAAGGAAACAAAAGAGAAAACAAAATGAAGAAACTGCAGCCTTGGAAGTACAAGTGTATGCTTTGCCACTGAGCCCATGAGCTCCTAGCCTAGCAGTCACATAAAAGCAGTTCTTCAAGCAACCAAAAAATATATAACAAACGGAAACAATCTAGGGGAGATTGAGGTCTTCAAATTCCAGCCATTCTTTGCGGGCTTGATTGGCAATGTCCCATTCCGATAACCAGATGTTGTTAAAGATCCAGAGGTTTCTGCATTTCTACAATCTCCATAGGATGAAAGTTGAGAAATGGATTCTGTCATTAAAGTTGCTAACTCTCTTCATGCTGCACACATCTGTCCACCAGCTTTTGAAAGTTAAGGAAGGGCTGTGTAAACATGACCATTCAATACCTGCCAATTTCCAGACTTTTACAGCTTGAGCACAGAAGAAAAAAAATATGTTCTAAGGTCTCCACAGCATCTCCACAAATCTTGCATATAGGATCCGTCTGGATTCCTTTGAGTATGAGCTAATCTTGAGAGCCAATGAACTTGTGCCAACACCTCCATAAGAAATTTTTAATTTTGCTTTTAATTTTCATGGACTAAGTTGTTTTCCATACATTAGCTGTTAGCGTCTGGCTTTGCTCGATTCAGGCTCATTCTTTACGATCAGTTTGCTTTTCATGATGAGTGAGTAGGCCGATTTTACTGTGAACTGTCCAAGTTTGTGCGGCCACCATCTCAAACTATCCCCATGGCCTGGTTTATTTAGAGCTGTAGACAGAATAAGCTTTGCTTCATGCGAATTAAAGGATTGCTCGATTAGCTCTTTGTCCCAGGAGGTGCCATCCTGATTCATCAAATTGCATACTTTTTCCAGCTTTTTTGAGTCAGAGTGGAAGCTTGGTGTGGGGCTTAGCTTGGGGGAACCTGCCAGCCATGGATCAGTCCAGGTAGAGGTATTCTTCCCATCTTCTATCACTTGCAAAGTTCCCTTTTTAAGATGGTGTTTGCATTTCAACCATGTGCTCCAAAGCCAAGAGTCCGTGGATTTATGCTTTGCCTCCCAAAGAGAACAATTATGTAGTACTTGCCTTTAATAACCTTACTCACAAGAAGATTGGGGTGGTTAAGCAGCCGCCATAATTGTTTGGAGATGAACACTTCATTAAAGGAGACAAGGCATTTAAAACCGAGTCCTCCTTCTTCCTTAGACCTGGATAGTTTGTCCCAAGATGCCCAGTGTATCTTCTTGCCACCCTAAGCTTTCACTCCCCACCAAAAAGATGTTGAAATTCTGTACAAATGCACAACGGTAACTTGAAGCAGGACATGGTGAATGTGGGTAGGGCCTGAATGACTGACCGCAAAAGGATTTCTTTGACTGCTTCGCTAAGGAAAATATTTTTCCAAGAGGAGAACTTACTGGCTATATTTTTTACAACAAAACTGAACGTTTCTTTCTTGGAGGAGCCAATACCTAGGGGTAGGCCTAGATATCTGGAAGATTTGACTGTGGAAATGTCATTCAATATTAGGCTGATTTCATCCCTAGTAGAGGTAGAGGTGTTTTTAGAGAAGTAGACTGGAGATTTGGAAAGATTTACTCATTGCCCTGAGTCAAGTCCGTAAGTTTTCAGAATGTTGGAGATGAGGGTTGCATGGAGGGGGTCGGCTTTGCAAAAAATGATTGAATCGTCGGCGAAGAAGAGGTGAGTAACAGATGGGGAATGCTTGCTGATTTTTATTCCTTGGAATGAGTGAAGAATGGATGCTTGTTTGATGAGGTTTGAGAAGGCTTCAGAGATTATAATGAACAAGTAGGGTGAGAGTGGATCGCCTTGTCTCAAGCCTCTCGATGGTTTAAGGTTTCCAAGAGGTTGGCCATTTATGATGAAAGCAAAAGAGGTAGAGGTAACACATGCCATAATCCATGAGGTGAATTGAGTACAAAAGCCCATTTTTTTTACAAATAGCCTCAAGTAAAGGCCATTCAACACTGTCAAACGCTTTCATCATGTCGAGCTTAAGGGCCATGAAGCAAGAGTTTCCTGATCTTTTATTTTTGAGATGATGAATGCATTCATTGGCGAGGACAAAGTTGTCAAGGAGTTGCCTGCCAGGGACAAAGGCGGCTTAAGGATTTGATTGCAGATTTCGCTATTCTCCTTCGGATTAATCTTGTTTATCGGTTTGGACTCTCAGTTTCATTTAATCGTAAGACTTTCTATTCTTTTAATCCATTAATATGTTGGTCTTGATTTATGAGATTGTTTAAGTTGAATCGATCATGAGCGGCTAAATTCTTAAGCTAGGGAATAGGGGATGATGTTTTGATTTCGTTTGTGATTGTCGGGCTTGAGATTATTTAATTTTGTATGAGTCGAGCTTTATGAGTCGAGCTTTTGATAGGGTTTTTCAATTATCGTATTTGAATATTGAGGATTATTGAAGGGTGACACTTCAATTTCCAATTGATTTCAATTGAGTTCGATTTATTCTTGTTTGATGTTGTTAATTCTAAAAGGGCTAGTTGATTAATCATCTTCTAGTCTAAGTTAATCGACTCTTAGAACCGAAAGGGGAGGAGTCGGTCGAAATAAGCTCGTATGAACTAGGCTTGTTCGTTGCTGTATTGCCTAGGCGTTAATTGAATTGTTAATTTGTCGTTTAAGCTTGTTCTCTTGTTACGAAAAGTTATTGAGAATGAAAACTTGAACGATAGGTTATTCAAATCATTTAACCGAATAATCTCTTGCCCATCAATTGCATTTTCGAACCAAGACGGGCATCCCCGACTCCCTGGCTCATTAAATCCTATTTGCTCTGCGTGCTCGTTAGTTATTTACTTGCTTTATTTTAATTCTTGCAATAGTTGATAATTCAAAACCAACCTGTAACGCCCCGTTCGTTTATGAATAAATTGGATTTTATTATTATT